CAATGGTTACCTTCACCATCAAAGGGACAGAGCTGCCCTCACCCAAGTGCCCACCCCAAGGCTGAGGTGTCCTGGTTGTTTTTTAGGTGCTTGAGATGATGAGGTGGCATTAGCAACCAAAGATTGTTGTGTTAACCCCTCTCCTGGAGGGGGTCTGGCCCCAACAAGCCAGGCATTTGTCAGTGGATTGCTGCAGCTTGTACTCGAAGATGACGCAGATTCTTTGGCTACTACAGGACAAGGGGGTCACAGAATCACACAGCACGGCCCAGACTGGAAAAACCCTTTGAGATCCTCGAGTCCAACCATGAACCCAGCACTGACCAGTCCCCTATGACTAACCCATGTCCCTCAGCACTGTGTCTACACGACTCTTCAATCCCTCCAGGGATGGGGACTCCACCACTGCCCTGGGCAACCCCTTCCAATGCCTCAGAACCCTTTCAGCAAAGAAATTCTTCCTCACATCCCATCTCAACTGCCCTGGCCACAACTGGAGCCCATTTCCTCTTGTCCCCTGGTCTGCTTCTCCAAACACGTAGGTTGATACTATAACGCCCAGGTCCTCATCTCCAAAGCCAGCAACAGATCTAGGCCACAACTCACACCTTCTGAACCCAAAATACAGAAGCTCTGAGGGCCAAGCAAGTGGTCCCCGAGGGAAACTGGCTTCTGGACAGAAGACAGACACTCTTAAGATGTGTCCCTGCTGTTGGCAGGGGGGTTGGAACTGGATGATCTTTAAGGTCCCTTCCAACCCAAACCAGTCTGGGATTCGATGTGTGGTAAAGCTCCTGGAGAAAACTCTCCTGAATGCTGCTGCACTCAAACCTCCTCCTCAGGCTCTGTTTGGAACAGGCATCAGCAGGAGACAGTCTGAGAGTGCAAAGATTCCAGGAAACCCACCAGAAACTTCACTCCTGGTCTCACAGAGGGAGACAAACTCTGCAGCAATAGCATCAAACTGTGCCAAAGCTTGGGAGATGGGGGGAAACACAGATCACAGATGGAATTTTGACCACATGATCCAGGCAACTATGGGAGAAAATGCGAGAGGAGAGGTAAGAGCACCAGAAAATGCGGGAGCAGAGCCCCAGGCAGGTGCCACAGAGCTCTCCTCCCAGCAAAGCCACACCAGCTTTGTTCATCCTCTCTCCCTCATGTTCCCTGGTGCAAGCTTGCAAGTTGCCTTAATAAAGCAAGACAAAGCTTAAAGAAACCCAGTTGAATTGTGATGGTTCCATCTCCCTCTGCTTTAACCAGGAAGGCTGAATGCTACTCCCAGGGGTCCACGCTTGTCCAGAAATATTTCACTGTGCTACCTCGGCTGATTCTCATTTTCTCACGCCCTCTGTTTTAATCTGAGGGCAAGAGCAGTATCTTAATTAGCCACATAAACTGCTCTTTCCTACCCCAAAATCTACTGGAAAATAGTCTTTGAAAAAAGAGCTGATCAATGGAAGCATCCCACGCTGTGGACATGGAGCCATTAATAACGGTGGAGTTTCAGCATTACAAAAAACAACCCCTCCACACACAAAAAACCCCAAATCAAACCAAAAAAACCCACGTTAGACCCCAACCTGGTACCAAAAATCCCTTCCCAGCTTGTACCTGCTTTGGATTTTCTCCTTCTGTGGGGGTAGCCCACTCGCTCCTCCTCTCGCTCGGTCAAATATTCCCCTGTCTGGTATTTCCGACTTTTCTGTCGTCTCCTTTTCTTCCTTTTGATGTGGTTTTCATCTTCCTCCTCCTCGTTGGGTTCCCACACCTGCCTGGGTGATTCTACTCTCCAAGGCAGCTCCCGGGTCCTCCTCGTGTAACAGCTGCTCCTCTCAGACCTGTCCCTGCCCCTGCGACTGTGATAACGTGACGTCCTGTGGGATTTTCGCAGCTTGCGACGTTTCGAGGATGTCTCCTCCTCCTCTTCCTCCTCTTCCTCTTCTTCCTGATCCTCCTCCAGCAATGGTAAAATCTCCTGACCAGTCACATCACACTCTCCAGTCACCCCAGCAGAAGAACCAGCGATGCTTCCTAGAAGAAAATGGAATTTCTAGCTGATTAAAAAAGAAAAATGCCCAAAGTATCTACAAGAAAAACCCTACGAGGTAGGACAGGAGATAGGGAGAAGGTCACAGTCCACCCAGGACTCCCCACCCAACCCACATCCCCTGGCACCGACTCACCCGACTGGCTGCGCGTCCGGCTGCTCAGCACCACCGGGATGAAATCCCGAAAGTTGTTCTTGGGCTTCTTCTCGAGGTAACCTGGGGGGAAACCTGAGCCTTGAGGAAACACAGCACGGGGAAGGGAAGGGGAAAGGGGGGGGAAAGGAGGAAAGG